GGGGAGGATCCATAGAGAAAGCCTGGCAGTCCTTACACTAAAGCAGGAGTAGAGAACCGTTTTCCGTGCCCGGGCCATTTGGTATCTCTATTCTTCTTCTTGGCCCATATTGGTGGGACACCGAGCTAACTCACCCCTAACATGCCCGCTTCTCCTTGGTGAGGGGTGTGAGGTTAGCTGCTACTGAGGACTGTGCTGGCCTCCCACAGACCCAGGGCAGGGCATTCCCTACCTTTGCCCTACAGCGCAGTGTGGGTGGAGTTCTATTGTAACACATTTACTTCACTAAGCTCTCTAGAGAACTTTTGGCTGGTGTGGATGGCCATTTTTATAATCTGAATTAAAAAAAAAATTCCACAACTATGCCAATAACTTAATAGTTTATTAGTCAGTCAACAATATTACAAATATTTAAAAATTACTTAATATAAATAGTTGGCAGCAAACTATTCCATTACAGAGTTAAATTACCAGTACAACAGACAGACTGGAGATTTAGACACCTGGAAGATAACAATAAAATAAACCAAAATATTTAACCAAAAAAATTTAAGCTGAAGGCTTTTACCTAGTGTCCATAAAAGCATGGGTTCTCTTTTTTTATTTAGAAAAAAATAAAAAACGGCTTTAACACCCCATTAGGAATATAAAAGAAAAAATCAACGGAAAATATTAATTTTCATATCAAAGAACCATTTATAATTACAATCCAAACACTCCATAAACCACTTGTGCGATTCTATACAGAAACTGGGAATTAGAAACTAGTTGCTTTTAATATTACAAAGATTTCAGCTCCAAAAATAATTCAACATAAAATAAACTTTAGCAATTAGTGTCATAAAATTATATATTTCCACATAAAAATACAAAATAATATTAATGACAAGAATATGAAAAATTATTCCAAGTATTTTACTACTATTAAAATAAAATAAAACCCAAGAACAAAACAAAATAGAAATATGCATGAAAAAAGTCTCTCCTTTTGTTAGCAAAACACTATCCAAAATAACTACAATCATTTACATCAGTACAAAGATTTCTGGATTTAAAAAATAGTTGCAATGACAAAAGGGGTATCTTTTTTGACAGTAAAAAATGACACTGTGGATAAAATCTGCAAAATATGCAATGAAAAAAATAAATTTGCATTAAAAAGGTTTACACTGTCATTTTTTTTATACAAACATTAGAAACAGTATTGCACATCACGACACAGAATCGAGGTTAGTCAGCCTTCCAAAGTGTGTTATATTCAAGTTTCATAGCATCTTTGAGGAGGGGCTCTGTGCAGCCAGATGCAATAGGGATAAAATATCAAGTGTTTTTCCATACACAAATATATAAATGCTAAATGTTTCCTTCTTAACAAAAAGTGTGTCTTTTTAAAGTTTTTTTTTCCTCCACAGTCATACTTTTGGGCAGCAATATGAACATTTAAGGGAAACACAGGTGAAGAAGCTTTGAAAATACAAAAATACAATTAAAAGTAATAATTTTCTACAAAAATAGTAAAATAAATATGATCTGTAAATTAAAAAAAAACCACCTTTTATTCCGTTTTTCACCGTTTGGAAGTTAGGGTTTTTGCCCTTGGGGGGGCGGGGGGGGGGGGGGCGGGGGGGGAGGGACAATATTGGAACAAATCAGCTTTAGTGAGAACAGAAATGAAGGTAACCCACCGTACATGTCTGTCCTTGTCGCCCGTGACAAAGAGGGCACCAGAGTCTAGGTCCCTTCGTCTCACATATTTACGAAGGGAAAGTGACTTTCAACATCTCCAATTATTTTCATCATATAATTTATTTTAGTGCTCATTATTTAATACATGAAAAGGCTCTTGATCTTAAACGTTAAGCTGAAATTATGAAAATAAAGTTAAAAAATCTGCGAAATTAAATATCTAAATAATTAACATTGCAAAACTACTGATTTCTTTTCTAAATTCCAAAAATTGAGGTATAGCAAAGGAGATGTCACCAGTCAAAAAAAGTGTGCCATAAAATAGCTGACTGTTGGAAAAATCTCTCACAGAGATATAAAAATAGTGCATAATAAATGTCAAAATGGATTAAGGTTTGGCAGGGTTAAGGTTAGAAAAGAATACTCCAAAAAATCTGGAGGACCATGGTTAAGTAACAAACAGGGAACATTGACAAATAAATCAGTAAAAAGCTCTTCTGAAAACAGCATCAACTTTAAACATTAAAAACTTGAACCACAACCACAGTAAAACAGCAGTTAGACATGAACCACATCTTTTTTTTTTTACAGTACAAAAAGCACACCGGAGACAACCAATACAAGATCAACACTTTGCTCACTCGAGGGATTGTCCCAAGGGTTTGCTGTAAAGCAATACCCTTGTAATTTTCTCTTTAGAGTCAAAAATCTGCACTTATTTATGTTTTAAAAGGAACATTGACCAGTGTTGGGCGCTTTGCTTGGATTGCAGAATAACTCTTAGGTCAAGAGATAGGGGCTAGTTGCATTAAATATGCTCTGAAGAGAAAAAAATGCCACTGATGATATTCTAATAGTGTTCAGTACCAAGAGAAACGCACTACTGCATGTTTCCATGCCACTTTCTCAAAAAATAATAAAACAATTTTAAAAATCAAAAGAAACTGCAAGCAAAGTCATTACCAAAATTCCTTCATTAATTTTTACAAAAAAACCCAAAAGCAAACAAACAAAAACAAAACCCCAAAAAAGGCAATCAATCCTTAACCATTAAGGACAACAATGTTCCATGCAACAGTGACCCCAGTTTAGACAGAAGACCCCAAGGTACATGTAAGTTAAACATGTAAGCAAGTTTAAGCCAGATTTCACAACATCACCGTAAAGGTACCATTTCATGTCACTCAACTAGCCAGCTGCCTATATCCCATCTCCATTTTGACTGTACTCTTTGCAGACCTCCCTCCAGCCTGCCATGGTCAGGATGGGCTTCTTGTGGGTCTGACAATTGGTGACTGGTTGGTTAGCAGTGTGCTGGCCGTCTTTGGTTTGCAAAGGATGTCTTAACCATGAACTCTCAAAGGGGCTAAAATCAACGTCATTTAAAAATCCTGGGAATTTTCTTCTTCTTCTACTCAGTCTTTTCTCTATACTACATCACTGCACATGAATTAGAACCGCACGTCACAAAATTGCACAAGGATTACACATATTACATCCAGTCTGCATAAAGTCCAAGTCTACTACCGACCAGATCACAAAATGGCTGCACTTGCTAATCTAAAACGAATTTGCATATTGTACACATGTAGGACAGGTTTGCTTTTAAACTTGAAGTCACAATAATGCATGCAAGTTTGCTTCTTTTAAACAAAGCTTATCATTTGTTCATGCGATCTAGGTTCAAGAGAGCTTGTGTGAGCATTTGCAAGACCTCGCCTCTTGTAAGTTAATAAACTCTAGTGCATGCATATGGTGTATACAGGTAAGTAAACATGCATTTAAAAAATTATTTTTTCACATTCTAAAACGATGGCAGTTTAGGCCATATTGTGCTGCCTGCATTTTTATCTCTGCAATGCAGTGTCTCTAACATTTTCAATCCCGTATTAATAGGTGGCATTTACACATAACACCTATATAGCAGCAAAAGCTAGTACAGCTTGTGATTAAAAATGTTTAAAAATAGCTAATAAATCCGATTATCTTGAGGTATTATTTCTTGCAAGTCAAAATGGAGAGCAAAAAAACCCAAAACCAAACCCAAAGCCAAAAACAATCAACCCTAATTTTTAGTTTATGTATACACGGAAAATAGCAACGATAAAAATAAGCATTTGTAGCAGACATATTCCATCTTCACTATTATTTTGCTACCTTTGGTAAAGTTCCTGGGGCAGATCTTGAAGTTAAAAACCCATGTTCAGAAATAAGTGCACGCTTCACCCACGGTATATAGCAGCAGACTGTGTTGCCCCTACGCAAAACATTCTCTTATCTTAATTTTCACTTTACATATAAAAATAACTTGGAGAAAATACAAAAGAACATTTTATTTTTTAACATGAAAATATCGCAAAAATCAGTAAGCCTGAGATGTAGGGTTTTGGTGAAAAACAAGAGGCTTGTGGTGTTTTGGCTGCTGATAAAGATGCACGTATTGACAGCCGGGGTGAAAAGCAGAAGAATGCACTTATTTCTTCTGCACGTCAGTATCTTCCAACACAGTAACCCACATGCACCCTTCCTTCTCCTTGGACACAGCGCGCTCCTCAGTTCCAGCGGAAGTGGATCTGCCGTGGGCGGTCGGCGCCTTCCTTCACCAATGGCTTGTGGAACTCACGGCCTGCCCGAGAGTGGATATTTGCCCAACAAAACTCACAGTAATACTGCAGGCAAGTGACATTGGCACAGAAGAAAGGTGCAAACTTCCCGCCACAGCGCGCTCCCTGGCATTCGTCGCACATCTGGTCATCGAGCACATATGGCTTCACCTCCACCTGGAAGGCAGAGCAGAGGTGTGGGCGCCCGCCTGGCTCTGGGCTCTGGGGTTACTGGTTTGGGGTGTGGGGTCTAAGCGACTTGAAGACAGTGTCTGGATTTTCCCTGGGTTTTAACAGACACTAACACCGTGTGTGCTTAGGGATCACTTGATAGAAAGCTGCTGACAATTTTTTCTTAAATGTAACCATGTAAGTTACCTGTGTGTTTTTTGTTTATGTTTGTTTCTCAATCCTAGAAATGGTTTTATAAAGTAGGATGCTCTGGCTTAGGTTAGGGTTGCTAGCTGAAAGGTCAGCAGTTCAAGCCTACCAGCTGTTCCTCCCGAGATAGCTGAGGCTGTCTGCTCCCTAGAGATTTGCAGTCTCTGAAACCATGCAGTCACCCGGAGTCAGGATTGACTTGATGATGGTAGGTTTTGGCTTAATCAATGTAACGAGTCTTTAAACACATGGAAAACAGGATCCCTAGCTTGTGATTCTGTAATATAACCAAGACCCATTTTTGATTAATCATCAGTATCCTCCAAATTAAAATGTGTGTGTGTGTGTGTGTGTGTGTGTGTGTGTGTCTGTGTGTGTGTCGTGGTGGGGAATCCCACTGAGTATGTGTGAACAGGTGTTTCACTAATGTTGTTCATTCTTTTTCAATTCAGAGTAACAAATGTGTAACTTGGCTAACTGGATTCAAAATGACTAAAAGAATTAGAAATTAACCATTAAACCTGGAACATCACCCATGAAATACTACACACACACACACACACACACACACACGCGCGCGCGCGCACGCACAGACGCAATGAAATACAAGGTGTAGTGGCTCTCAAGGAGTTAGGAACTAAGCCAATTTCCTAAGCGTCCAAATGCCTAAAAAGGAAACTGAAGAAACTATTCTAATAATCTTCTACCCAGTGAGTACCTGGTGTATCTTTGGGGTGTCCATTCTAAATTTACTATGGCCTTTTTAAGAAGGTACCTGTTTCTCAAATCACCTGTTTTGTGCCCGAGTTACTACTAAGAATCAATGCACAACCCTCGAATAACTGGTCCTTCACAATCATTTTAGAAACAGGGAGATAGCTATTCCTTCTGCTTCTGTACATGAAGCCACGCATATACAGTGTAGCTAAACTCCTCTGGGACCATTTCACCTCTTTGCTAAAGTAGAGGACGGCAAGCTTGGCTGCCTATCACAACCCTCAGTATAGGCAATTTCTAAGAGCCTGCTGTCCAGGCAGCCTCCCAGATTAATCATCTCAGAACCTGGGGCTGGGGCTGGGCCAGGGCTTTCAAATGTTCCCCGGTGATTTCAATGTGTAGCCAGGGTTGAAAACAACTAAAGTGGAAACCAGTTTAAAATGTTTACACTTGTATATCTGGAAAAAAAGGCAAATCCTCTTGGACACTTATATTTGAAGGGACAATGGGAAGGTAGGGTGTCTTGGTAACTGCCATCCATTCCGGCTCCTGGCAGAACTGCTCCGTGGGGTTTTCAAAGCTGTGATCTTTTGGAAGCTCTGGCTGGTGAGACTGGGCTGGGAGGTTCCTACAGCCAACCTTTAGGCTGTAATGGTTTGGCACTTGACTTAATGACGACTTCTAGAGCCCGTGGTCTAGGCAACTGGCATTGATTAACCAATCCTCCATTCCCCCAAATACTCTTCATGTACAAAGCTTCAGAGAAGAGGCTTGAAGGGCAAGCATTATTACACCAGGAGGGTATCAACTCAAGCGATGTCACCTAATTTACATATCAAAAGCTCTTAGTGCACCCTCTTCTTAGTCGGCCTCCTGGGGATACATTAAGGCTATACCCATGGGTACATGATTTCTATACATATGGACAACTGTGAACTATTCACAAAATTCCGTGCGAACATGCATTGTAAACACACAATTGCATGACTGATCATCGCGAGACACTTAGAAGTTCGTATGGTCATCTGGGCAACATTCCCATAAAAACAAAACAAAACCACCCTGCTGCCATCATGTCAATTCCACTCATAGCAGCCTACAAGGGCAGCGACACTGCTCCATAGGATTTGCCCAGACGAAGCAGATGGCCACATCTTTCTCCTTTGCGGGCTTGCTCAAGCCCTTTCTCCACTGGCCGACCACAGGGTGCTTTCTAGTTTAGAACAACTAGGCGAGGATACACAATGCATATTTTACTGTAGCTTTGTCCTCTGAACTTTTTACATAAGTGAATTGTCCTAATCCCCAAAATAACTGCCAGACAGGCACTACTACTGTTTTCCATTTTACATCCAAGGGCAGAAACACACAAAGAGGGTTACTTTGCCCTGGAGAAGAGTGAATGTTGGGAAAGGGATTCTCTCCCTGGCTCCAGAGTACATGCCTCAAACAAGCTCTGGCTCTATGGTTTAAAAACCCACAACCCACTGCCCTTGAGCTCATGCCTATTTAGCCATCTCGGTACCAATAAAGAAACGTGAAATGCCTTCGTGTACATCTTTTGGGCATGTTCTTACTTGTTTTGTATGCTATGCTGACATGATAAAGCATGTCAGTCAGGAGTTCTAGGTTTCAAGATATTTTGGCGCAGTAGTCTAAAACTCCGGGCGCTAAAAGTCTAAAGAAAAAATTAATAACTCTGTTTGCATCACATTATTAAAACATTCTTAGGGTAGTAATCTTTGGATCACACCTTGGCAGGGATTCATAACAAGTCCACTTACGCGTTTGTCAATGTCGCCGTGCTGAAGCTGAACAAACCGAGCACTGATGGCAGCGATGTAACTCTGCTGATTTGAGAAAGCCACTCGCCCAGCGCCTTTCGGGTACTTGAGCTCAGGATCTGTATCGATTCCAGCGTAACACACTCCACCATACAGCCGGTCCATGATCATAGCAAGTTCCACTTCAAAAAGAAAAGAGTTCACATCAAATGGGAGAGAACACAATGAATCAACTTTTAAATACTTTCTTTTGCAAAGTCCACAGGACAGTAACATTTGGCCCTAGGTAGTAGAAGAGAGGGAGTTGTGAAGGAGAAACTGAGGTCACAGAAGCTCTCATTTATGTTTCAATAAATATAGTTTCGCCAGCACTTCATCCAACCACTGGCAAGCACAAAACCCACCACAGGTGCACTGTCTTCTCTCCTGGGACTACAGGCAGGTCAGGCTTTTTTATAAGTCCAACTCTCTCATTTACATACAGGTCACCCCCAAATTAGTTTATATTCAACTTACCGAAAAACTGCCCTTGCCAGGGTCCTTTCTATGTTTGTGATTTTGGTACATCTTATCACTAGAAATACATACCGCCTACAATGTCGCACAAGTACATAGTTTGCTGATGATATCACGCGATGATATCAATCTCACGCCAACCCCCAAGGAAAAAGACAGATTGGATTGATACAATCAAAGGCAATACTAATGAAAACTTTGAAAAGCCCAATGAGTTATTTATGTCAGAACAGAGCGAGAACAGAAGCCCATGGTAAGCTGGGGTCTAGCTGTGCTAGAATCCTACCTAGTCTCACTATAGAAGAGCCTGTGCTCTGGCAACGCTTCCCTTCTCCCTTCCCCAGCCCGTCTTTCCCTGGATACTGCAACTTCCGGGGATAGCACACCAGGACATTGTTATTTGCCTTGTCTTTACAAACAATTCTCTCCCCTCTCAACAACTGCTTTAGCTTTGCTTCCTTTGAGAGCAAATCAGTAAAAATATGTTTATGCACTCCCTGATTGCTCTCCTCCTGGTTCTTGGTCAGACACACTGTCATCACCCTCTCATGCTCTTCCCTTTCTAATTGCTCTGGTCAAGTTCACAACCTGCACTGCCAAAGCCAATGGTTAATCTACCCAAAAACAACTTTTAACAGTGATTCCCTTCCTACTCCTTGAAATATTTCTCTACCTGGCTTCAAGGATAAAATATTCTAATTCCCTTACAGCATCAATGATACTTATCTTCACTCTTCTCAATATTCACTGAGGAGGCAAGATTAAAATCCACTGCTAGTTCCGCTTCCATTTGACTTTTAAATGAAGAGTTCCAGTGCTTGATCCTCTCTAGCTAGGCTTACGGGCTTTGCTGACTTCATCCTGGGTCATGCTTTAAACACCACGCTCTGTGAGGCTGACCTCCGCAGGTGAAAAACCAGTGTTCTGCTCCAGCAAGTATTACAGCCTAGGAGACCTTAGGGGCGGTCCTACTTTACTGCAAAGGGTCACTGGGAGTCGAAATCTGCTTGATGGCACCGAACTACGAATGTATGCTCAACTTCTGCTCTAGACTCACACTCATTCACGCAGAGTGGCATACTGGGAAGTGCATATTAACAGCCAAAAGTGTGTTCAAAACGGACCTTCTGATCTTCACTCCAATGAACCTCCTTCAATGAGTTCTTGTCTAATCAGTTAGTGAAGATCGAGAGAGAAGGCTTGCGTTGCCAGGTCAAGGCCTTTGGTATTATCTTGAGTTCGCTTTCCCTACTACTCACTGCATATCTAATCCTATGAACTCATGTTTTAAGACATAGCTAGGACCTAATCTCTTTACAGTCAGCACCAACATTCTGTTCCAAGCTGTTCTAATTTCCTCTTTGGATGAAGTGGATAGCCTTCTCTCTGCTTTTGATTCCTCAGCTCCCTTCCTGATACTCAATTCTCAAAAACATAGTTACTGTGATTATCCTTAAAAGAATAACAAATGTCAATAACCTTGATTGAAATGTCTATTTCAGGGTCTTTTTTAAAAATCATTTTATTGGGGGCTCATACAACTGTTATCACCATCCATCCATCCATCCATTTTGTCAAGCATATTTGTTGCCATCATCATTCTCAAATAATTTTCTTTCTACTTGAGCCCTTGGTATCAATTCCTCATTTTTCCTCTCCCTCAGGAACCCTTGATAATTTAAAAATTATTATTTTTTCATGTCTTGCACTGTCTGATGTCTCCCTTCACCCATCTGTCTGTTGTCCATCCCCCAGGAAGGGGGTTATATGCAGATCATTGTGATCCGATTGCCCCTTCCCCTCCTGATATCACGACTCTCATTATATTCTAGGCTCTTAATGGCACCACTAGCTCTTGTTCAAATATAAATCTACAGCCTTCCTTGGAATCTGCAAGCCTGTAATTACGGCCCTACAGGTCATCTTCTGCTTGACCTCTGGCTCAGGATTACCAACAGAAGTTATCACTCCCTCAAGTAGGCTTTTCTTTTACTTTATGGCTCTAATATAAAACCCAAAACAAACAAGTCCCCAAGTCCTAATTCCTTTCAAAGTTCCCCTTAAGAAGCCAGACATATTTATTGAGATTCTTCTCATTTAAGTAGACTATCAAGAGTCTCCTTGCAGTTAGCTTTTAATCTTGCTAGATGAGCATCCACCGTCCAGCAATGAGTTTCAAGAGAGAACTTTCAACAATTGTTCTCAGATTTTGTCTCAGGATTCTGTCTGTAGTTAATGATAACTCAGGTATTTGCCCCTCCCCACACCCAATAATGCCTCGTACACAAGGGTGTCTACTGAATCGAACACTTATTTAAAAAGTGGTTTTCAAACATTAATCTTTTACGTACCAGCTCTTAATGGCCTTGGAACACCTCCAACAAAAATGGTCTTTCGGGGATCCAGAGGCTGAGAACCATCCATCACAAAATCACTATCACTTAGATTCCAAGGACGGATCTGAACCTATGAAGAAGAAAGTGATGATACTGTGACAGGTCTTACAATGTACACAGCTTCCACTGTCTTTTTGCAGTGGTCCTTTTAATTATTCAAAGTTGCAGCTTATTGAATTTGAAAATCAATTTTTTATTTTTAAGTAGAGGTACCAAACTTAGGTGTTTCCAAACTTAGTCATGGTCGTTAGATGATTTCTCCAGTCATGAGCATAGACAGGTATGGAGGATGTGTGGGTAGCTGGGAACGCAGGTGGTGTTGACTTACTGGCTTGTCCTTGATGGTTGGGCTAGAAACACACAAGTAGAGCTTCCCATCTTCTTCAATGCAAGCATCAATCAGAGCCTGGACTGAGCTCTCTTCTTGAAAGAGAAGGAACGCATAGCCTACAACAACCAGAAAACAGGAGGTACTATGTCAAGGCCAGTGGTTTCACCCTACATTTCTGGATCGGCCGGCAAATGCATGCTTTGGGGGAGGGGGTGGCGGGGGAGAGAAAAAAATAACACCACACCATCAAATAGGACTCCAACTCTTCTGCCTTTTGTTATCATATTCGATGGAGCACACACAAAAATAATCAAGCAATAATTAGCTAGTTTCTAGAGTCCCCCTACCAGGTGGTAAGAGTTTTATGTACATTATTTCATTTGCTTTCACAAGTCTATGAGACATCATGTTTATTTTTTAAAGAAAATTCTTGAAGTACCAAAAGCCAGTCAGTCCATCAGAAGAAGGCACAAATCTGTCTTGGCAGATGTACAGCAGAATGCTCCTTTGAGAGAATGGCGAGACTTCCGCGAATAAAGAGGAGGGCGTAGGGTCAATTCACTAAATACTACCTGAAGTCCAATATTGTGAACGCTGCCAGGAGGAGAGGAATGTTTCTATCCCAACATTTAATTAAGCAACATGGTAGTAAACCAGGACCTACAGTTAAAGTAAATAGTTCGCACTAGACTGCTAACCTAAAGAAACTGGCTGCTTGAGCCCACCCAGTAGCACCTTGGAAAAGGCCTGGCGATCTGCTTCCGCTACCATCACCATCAAGAAAACCCTGCAGGAAGGTTTTGCTCTGTAACACAGGGGTTGTCATGACTCAAAATCAGCCCCATGACAACTAACTTTAAATATGAACAGATAATATAAAATACTATTCAGAGTTTCTCTAACACGTAACCGTTTATAGTTAGTCATCATATAAGCAACCAGACAACCCACTGCCATCGAGTTGATTCCAACAGGGATCCTACTGATCACAGTACAACTACTCCACTGGGTTTCCTTCCAAGACTGCAAATCTACACAGGGCAAGATAGTCTCATTTTTCTCTCATGGAACCACCGGTGGATTCAAACCAACGACTTTGTAGTTAGCGCCAAATACTTTACCTACTGGGCCGCCAGGGCTGTTAATAATTTTATAGGGTAATCCTTATATGTCAATGACAAAGGAAAATATACCATCTAAATTTGGTTTTGTTATTTCAGTGTTAGGTAGCTGAGAGACAGGGACTGGGGATTGTCCCTCTCATGCCTGCACAGACCCCCTACAGGAGGTTGGGAAGGAAATCAGGTGACCCTTAGGCACCTACGAAAGCCCCTTAAGTGGGCATGCTCAAATTCAGGGCCCAAGGCAGGTGGATGTTAAACCTGGGCGGCCCAAACTAGACCCAGGTGGGCTTAATTCAGTCAATGGGGTCAACCAATACCTTCCCCCGTGCCTCCCCAGCCAATACCCCAGCAGTGGAAGGGCAGGTCTCTTTACCTGGGCTCCTGGTCAGTGGTAGGTCAGAGAGGATTCTCCCCTTTACTGCTCCTGCACCCTATGGGGCCATGCTCTCTGGCCTCAGTTCACCACGTGTGGACGCGCAGTCCCACGAGGTTGCCCGTGTTCAGTTGTGGGCCCAAGCATGGCTTCCGCGCTGCTTGACACGCTTCCTTGAAATAGTGTGCACCCCACCCCTTTAAGACCGTATAACCTGAAACTTCTCCCATCCTTCATAAAAATCCGTTGGGATTACAAACAGGCTTCGGCGTGAATTCTTTCTCGTTCGAAGCCAAGAACCGAGGTACTGACCCACTTGCAAAACCTACTGATCCTCACAACAGTAATTTCTAAGATTTAGTTCTACACCACCTGTTGGTCTACGAATTGCAAACTCAGCAGTTCAAAACCACCAGCTGCTTTCTCCTAAGGAGAAAGATGAGGATTTCTACTTCCAGGAAGTAGTTATCGGCTCAGAACCTTAGAGGGGGATCCTACCCTCTCATACTGGGTCACGGTGAGTTGGAATTGACTCATTGGCAGTGAGTTTTTTGGTTCTTCTCAATGAAGCTTTTCCCTAAGGCCAAAGTAGCCACTGAATCTTGTATTTATTTCTGTTTACATCACATATCAGGGAACTATCAAAACAATTCGGGAATTGTTAGAGATATAAAGGCGAATAAACACTGTAGAAGACAGTCTCATCGATGACACCCACATCGACAAAAGAATCACAGGACTTGCAATGTCACAATACTAACAGAATAGAATCCCTGTGATGAACGGCAGGATGGGGGCCCACAACAGGGAGATGAAACCTCAGCAGGAGCCTGAGCGCTCTCCCTGTGAAACTTGCTAATGAAGCTGAGGTACAGAGCTCACAAGCTGAGAAAATGCTGAGCGCATGGGCAGGAGGAGGCTCTGAAAGAGCACAGGCACAGAGGCGAAGCCAGGGAGATGAGCGGATGCTGGTCTGTCTGTGCCAGCCACCTGGATGGGCTAGTCAGAAGAAAAGTCACAGGCAGGCTTTAAGCAGGCTGGTGAGGGGTAAGATAGCATCGTGGGAGGGCATTCTGGAGAGGATGCTCTGGCAGCACTGAGGGAAAAGGCAAAGGGCCAGAGATGTGGACAAACTGGTTGGACCACTGTGGGGGAACCAGGATCTCTTGGATAGGAACATTACCAACTAGCATGTTTGTATTGAAGGCTACACAAAATAAACTGTATAAAATAAACAGTAAGACTCTGGGCAATAAACTCATGTTAAGCAGTGAGTAACTCTACTTACCCTGAGTTCACTTTCTGTCTAAATCAAGGGTTCAAAGGAATTCCACGTCCAGGAAACCCCAAAATTATGTGTGTGTTTAAAAGAAAAGCTTTAATTAGGTTTTCATAATAGAGGGCTGAGACTCAGAATCCCTACTCAAAAAGTTCTTGAAGACTCTTGTCAGGGTAAGATCTCAAGACATGGGTCATACGCCGGTGCTGCACGCTTCCTTCTCGAAAGAGCTAGACACCAGTAATGGAAGTGCTAGTGCACTTCTCCCACAATTCACTGGGAGCGCCAGTCAAGCTCCTTTCATAGGTGCCCCACACCTGTTATGTTGCCTTTCCCACCGTCAAATCAGAGCATCTAACAGATTTTCTGGAGTCTTTTCCTGGGTCTTGATATCTCACTCCACTCTGGAAAATGGTGGCGTGCCTCTACCTTTTCTAGAAAATGCGTTCCAATGATCTTCCAAGAAAAGTCTGTTTCTCAAGCTCTCCTCTTCTCACACTCACTTCAGAGGAATCTGCCATGAGCTACTCTGACAGAGAAAATGGGTTTTCAGCTCTGCTCCTTACTCCCCTTGTGGACAAGGTGTAATTCCTCTCCCCGCTGGTGTTGGGCTTGGTCACGTGCTTGCTGTGCTCAGATGAATGTTAGCATAACTTGTGGTTCTTTGTCTCTGGCAGTCAGCCACAGCATTAGCCCAGCAGTAAGTCATTAACACAACTAAGTATCCTACTTAGGATTTAAAGTAATTAGGGGTTAAAGAAAAGCACTGAGTCCCTTCCTGCCCAATCTACACTCCTAACTCAATGACAAAGAACACACTGCAGTGCTTTTTCCATTTTCTCAAGTTCTGCTAAACACGTAGGTCTTACAATATTGAAACTATATTACAAGTTGCTATGAATAAGATACTTCACTCCTAGTTGTACTGAACCTGGACACTTTTTTATGTTTGTGTAACCAGGTTTACTTAGAATGATGCTTGAGAGGGAGAAAATATTCAAAACATTTGTCGATTTGCATCTGTGAAATCACGATCAAGCCACTGTAGAGAAAATACAGCAAGTGTCTCATGATTTCTTAATCGTTCCTAAGACCATTCTGCCTCGTTCAACATGTTCCCAGCCTTTTCATTATCCATTAGTAATTATCCCATTAGTAATTTGACCCTACATAAAGAAAGGCCCTAGTCAATTCTAAAAGTAAGAAATTAGGAGGGAGGGGAAAAATGAAGACCTAATGTCGGGGGTTTAAATGGAGAGAAAATGTTTTGAGAAACGATGTACAAATGCGCTTTACACAATTGATGTGTGTATGGATTGGGATAACAGTTGTATGAGCCCCTAATAAAATGTTAAAAAAAAAAAAAAGAGAAATTGATAGGCTCTCTTTTGTCCTTATACAACCAATTCCCTGGCACCTGGGAACAATAAAACCCCCTTACCTTTTGGTGGGAAATAGGACTTGCTTTCTGCCTTATGTGGCCAGTCTACCACCAAAGGCCCGAATCTTCTGAAGCTAGTTGTTATTTCATCTACAGGAAGTACAACAAAAGGTCTCAGGAATTTGTTTTCATGGTTAATTTGAAGAAACGCCGCATTGAACAATTTTCTATCAAGATGTACTATTGCTAAGCGCCAAATATTGCCTAAGGTAAACCAGATGATAACAAGGAGAACCTGTCTTGTGTCTTTATTAAAATCATATGCAAACCAAAGAAAGAAAATTTTGTCAAAACAAATTCAACTTCTAGGAACACGGTGGCCAGAATCATCATTTGGGGATGAATTTAAAAATGTCATGTTAGAGTATATGACTACAAATGGATTTACAGCACACAAAACCATAAATAACACTGGCAGGAGAGACATGTCAATGTTTTGACAAGTTCAATAAAGAGATTCATGAGGGTCTCACAAGTGAAGCTCTGCTCTTTCCCAAGACTGGTGTCTAATAAATGGCAGCCACGTCTTAATTACATGTGTGGTGTTCTTTCACTGCATTAGACTGATTTCTATCACTAGTCTCCCCGGCTTACTACCCTCTTCACTCGGATTAGTTGTAAAGAGTAGCAAGTTTTTTACAAGGTCACAAAAATCACCCAACTTCAGTAGTTTCCATCTGAACTATTTTCCCTTTGTTCCAATTGCATGTGACTTGTGGAAGACTCCTAGGATTCTGGAAGACTCGTTGAAACACACTGGACCCCAAGATCACTGTTAACTGTGAAGCCATCCCACCATCAGATATGGGGGACTCAAGGAAAATTGTGGCTTCTCCTATGATTCTGGAAGACTCGTTTTCCAATTGAATGTGACTTGTGGAATTGGGGTTTTCTGTTTCTTTCTCCATTTCTCTTTTGGGCATTATAAATTAGATGTGAGTTTACATTTCAGGTCAAGTGCCCATTAAAAAGTAACACCCCCTACCCAGCCCTCCACAGTCTACCATTCCCCTGACCCTTGATTTCTCTTCTCCCTCTTGTGGATGACCATATTCCAAGTTAACACTTTCATTTCACTAGTCAGTCTAGCCTGTTGCTTTATTGTGGCTCCTTTGGCCTCCCCCAGGAGACTCCAAAGTCAGTTCCCTTGGTATGAAAGTCTCCATCTCCCTTATAACAGCAGCCTCATGGAATATTTCTTCTTTCTGTGATTGACGGATTTTGCTCAATATGATGTTCTCTAGGTCCACCAATGTTTTACGCATGTTTGAGAGCGAATCTGCCTTAAGGAAAGGAGCCTTTTGATAAGGCTTCATGATTGCGCTCCATTTATGTGTATCATATAAAAGGATAAGTGCTATCTATTCAAATCTCACACACATCTGGCTTGATCCAGAGCACAGTTTCCCACACTTCCTTGGCCTACTACTGCCCCCTCTTCAGGTAAAAAAACGATTCGGCACCCCTGGCAATGAAAACCTTTTGCACTATCCGTAGTCCATAATCCAAGATAAAAGTGTAGGTAATCTGCTTTTTCAGCCCCTCTGTATTGGCCACATTGGAAACAGTGAGCTAGAGTATGGCAAACATCGCCAAAAAAATACTTGCCATGAGACACAAAATGAAGGAAAAAATTCAAAAAAGTCTTTTTCTCAATTACCTCCTTAACTTTAAGGGGTGACCAAAGTATTTCAACAAAGATGAATATCTATTCTTCCTCTAAAATTCCCTAGGCCACTGTGCCCCAGCCCCAGTTCAAGAAAAATCCCTTTGGGGGGGGGTAAAAAAAAAAAAAAAAATCAAACTTAAAGATAATGGAATTTCCCCACAAACTTTCTGAAGTCCCCACCTCTTATTTCCAGCTTTCTATCTCCGACTTACCTTCATCAATATCTGGAGGAAGACCACCAACAAACACCTTTCGAGAGAAGCGCTCTATTCGCTCTCCGTTTTGATGGGCTGAGTAGCACGTGGGTGAATTTAAAACGCCAACTTGGTCACTGTGACCGTCGTCGAGCAAGCCGTCATCGATGGGAAAGAGGGAAGAGCGACCTAAAACACAGCAACGGGTCACGTGATCTCAGGTGGAAAAGCGCGGCATTCGGGCACCACTGGCAAAGTCAGGGAATCAAAAACAGAGGTGATACAGGCGGACAAGAAGCCGCGGAAATGCAGAGAGCAGACTGTTGGTGGCCTATCTTGAAGAGAGTAGGAGCACTCTGATATGATTTAGAAATCAAGTCACACGGCGACAGTGATAGTGAAACACACACACACCCCAGGTCACCTCTGAGCGACCTAAAACACAGCAACGGGGTCACGTGATCTCAGGTGGAAAAGTGCGGCATTCGGGCACCACTGGCAAAGTCAGGGACTAAAAACAGAGGTGATACAGGCGGACAAGAAACCGCGGAAATGCAGAGAGCACAGACTGTTGGTGACCTATCTTGAAGAGAGTAGGAGCACTCTGATATGATTTAGAAATCAAGTCACATGGCAACAGTGATAGTGAAGCACACACACACACTACACACACACACAACCCAGGTCACCTCTGTTGTTTTTGACAGCAGCAGAAGGGGGGGAGGGGGCGCTGAGCAACAGGAGAAACATGAACATCTGTGGCAGAAAAGCAATGAGCAGCACAGGTAAGGGGGCACAGCCCCAAACCACGTGTAGACGGGACTAAGTGGGCAAAGGCAAAAAGGAATATTTGCACAGACACGCGGTCTTAATTTGTTAACAAGGTGTGCCAGCTTATATAAAGGGGTAGGCAGGGTTTCTGCACATGAGCACCGTGGAAAAGAGGGGCATCCCCTCCAGCTCTTGAGTGCTGGGGTCGTCCTCATTGCACACATCCAGTAAAACACTCGCGGGCATTCCTAATGCTGAATTCAGCAGGGATGGAAAAAATAGAACCTACTAAGATAGTTTGCTGCCTCTCCAGTCATGGATCTTATAGAAGAGCAAAGATCTGAACACAGATCTGTACAGCCATCAAGAAGATGCCAAAGTGCTTCAGAGTTTGTATTTTGGAGGCAAAGAATAGATTAGCTAGTAAAAGAACCATTTCTGAAAGCCCAGAGTGAAACTAGGTAGTACTTGCTGTAGCACTTGCAGTAAAAGGAAATGGTAATGGGACTGTGAGGGGATTAGAGAAGAGGGCGCATTTACAAGTGAACATTTTTGTGAAAACATAGATTTGAGTAAGTTTTCCAAGTGGAAGGAACAACCTAAGAGAATGTATGAAGGAATGAGCTGTTTAATAATAGTTGTCCCGGCTAAGACACACTGGACCCCAAGATCACTGTTGATTGTGAAGACATCCCATCAGATATGGGGGGACTCAAGCAAAACTGTGGCTTCTCCTATGATTCTGGAAGACTCATTTTAGCAAATACAAACAAAGTAGCTTGGAATGGAGAAGACCAAAGACACTACCAAAAAGGATGCCTGACAGAGGTAAGAGAACAGGATTAAAAAAATGAATGAAAAGGGAGGAGCCAAAGAACATCCATGGTAACACCACTAATTACACTTAGGACGGTGAAGATCAAGAAGTCGTGTGAGAAAAGGAAACAGGCTTTATCTACACCGTATGCGCAGTAACAGAAGGAGATGTGGTTCCAGTGTCTGTGATGATGAGGGGTTGTGTCAACAAGCACTCCTGGTAAGGGGAGAGGCAGAGCCCAACCTATCAGCAACCCGATGGGTAGCAGCTGGGTAAAACCTCGTGGCAGTGTAGCCTTTGTATAAAATAGAGAGCCAAGCAGTAGAATCTTCTTCAATCCTGTGCCTTCTGCTGGAGCGGAATCTCCAATCTGGTTCCTTAATCTCCTGTTGTGTCAACTGCCAGTCCCAGGAGGACACATTAGGCAGACTCGGGATTCAGATTACCTCTGCACACGCGCCCCCGCCACCCGTCCCCGCCCGCTGTCTCTGCATCTCCTGCTTCCTGTCCATCAGCTTCCCGGACTCTGGAGAAGGCTGACTTGAGCCGGAATACCACGGTGTCAGTCATTTCTTGATTTGCATCTCTTTCTATAGACAACACATACAAGCCATCACTGGCTTTGCTTCTCTAGAGGACCCAACCTATCCCAATGTCTTACACTTCTGTGTAATTATATTAACTATATTTATACAAAACCTATATTATCAATGGCATTATACTATCATAACAAGATTATTCTAGTTGCTGGAGGTAATTATAAAAAATCACTACAGAGTTCATCGGTTCATCGAGTTCAGTTGGACAAAGGGCACACACATGCGCTAGCTACCCTCACAGTAAGTCTTCCTCCTCCTAGAAGTTGAGG